GGGAGAGAGGGAGGGAGGGAGAGAGGGAGGGAGGGAGAGAGGAAATAATATAAATAGGCAAGCAGCAAGGAGGGAGGGAGGCTGTTTTAGTTTGATTTTACTCTCATTTCTTCCACCTTATCTTTTTTGGTCATTATGGGGCACAGAAAAAAAGAATACAAAGTTTTCCTTTACAAAAATCATAAACCAGTCAAATGCCAAAAAAGGCAACGTGTTAACACAGCAAGTTGCTATTCACAGCACCTTTTATCAAGTGACTTCAAAGCATTTTAAACATTAATATAATTAGTTTTGTTTTTCTTGTCTTTGGGGTAAAACTAGGGCAAAGACATCCTGACATCCAGTGAATTAAATGTCATAAGGAGAGAGTCCAGTGCAGTGCTACAGACTTGCTTTTGGTTTCAGTCTGTGCGCAGTTTAATCTCCAACGTCAACTTAACTAAATAAATGCTGGGTTCCAGCAGTTGCAGGTCTCTATTAAGAATTTCATTTTACCCTTCAAATAAACAAGAAAAATTTAAACCGAATGCAACATTTTGTCACCTCACTGGTGTTTAGGATTTGTTTCGGCCACGAATGCCTCAGTGGCATCTACCTGGAGCTAAAACAAAGTATTCTTGTAGCCCAGAGTCATGAAATGAAGATGAAGCATCTTTATAACATGGTATAAAGTAAGTATCCAGCAAACGTGAGAGGTGAGCCCACATAAGTCCGAAGAAATTTGTTAACAAAGACAGAACAAATTTTTAAAAAATCTGTTTTCACATTGTACGTAATAACGATATAAAAACAAGTGTCTATTTTTTCCTTATTCAGAGTGCTTAAAAACAAAACAAAAACAAAAAATTGGCTCTAGATGATGGTGGCAATTCAATAACTAAAATGAGTGATGAGAGTATAAGATAATTAAAATTGAACACTAACCTCCTATTAATTCATTCCTTTGTATTAAACACCAGAACTGACATTGTTGGGGCCACATTTTTTAGAAGGAGAAAACTTATTAAAGGAGAAGTTAAACTGTATGGGCGAACACGTGTCTGTATGTACATATACACACACATATACTGGGAAATATGCATGTATGTGTGTGTATATATATATATATATGTATATTATATATAAGTTGGTGATAGCAGTTAGTTTTAAATATCTTATTGGCTGCATTTCCAAATCAGAGCAGAATAAAGTAGAAGGGGAGAAATAAAATAAATTATACATAACTTACTAATCTGGGAACAGCTGACCATTATTATTATTATTACTATTATTATTATTTTATCATCATTATTACAACACTAGCAAAAAAGAGGCAGTTCAAATGAAAATACAGTTATCAAAAACAAACAAAAACAAACAGAACAAAAGCTCTGACATGCAGGATATGATCAGCTCCTCTAAGCAAAACTCGAGAGCAAGTCTTTTGAGAGAGAGAGAAAAATAAACACAAATATTTATTTTCCTTATTTAAGAGTGAAAAATCAAACTTTAGGGTTTGGGGGGTGAGACAGGAAAATGATGACTGACTGAACCCAAGGTACATCCGAGCGACCGGCTGGAGCATTTACCGCTGGATGTGTCGACACAGATAATGGCAATTGGTTTGAAGTGATTTAGAATTTATTTGTACAGGTCCTACCATTGCCTTGGCATTCGGTTGGCAAAATCTAAAAAGGAGTCCCGTCACCATCAGCCGTTGCTCTGCGTGTGTGCTCTGCTGGCACCAAAAGTTAAACTTCGGCAGATTCACCTCACAGCAATGGAGAGCAGTGGCAAAGGGTCGCTGCGTTCAGCCAGGCTCCACCTTGTTTGGGCTGCAGTGACTTTTAATCAAATCCCGGTTTTTATGGCATGAAATGCACAAGGCCCACACCTCTGAAATGTAAAAGGCTTCCTCCTCATTTCACGGAGAGATGAGAAAACTATAAAGTTGTCACCAGTTCCTTTTCCTGGTCAGGAAAGGATGGAATGTTGAGAAATAAGCTAATTCTGTATTTCTGGGAAATGGCCAAATATATTCAGTGGAAACAATGATCGTTTTGCTCCAAGTATCAACAGGAAAAACAAAAATCACTAAGTAGCAAATGTTAGTAGAACCAACTGTCCAGGGAAAAGGGACATCTGGGAGCGGTTTGCTAGTAGTTTCCATGTAATGCATGCACACCTCTATTACACAGGGCCACCTGATCCATCCAATCATCATATTAGAAACTGAAAAATAGAATTTCTGAGCCCTATACATGGTTAAGTTGTCATTTGAAGTGCAAAGTCAAGGTCAAGATTACTTCTAGACCAGTCACTTAGGAGGATGTGGGATTTCATCCCCAGATGTGGGTTTAACTCACAATGGTCCAACTTTATTTCTATTAGTACCATATTCACACACATACACACACACAAATCCAAGATCAGAAAATATTTTTTTTCTCTAAATTTCTTATGTCTCTCTCTCTTTTCACCTGAGAACAGCACCTACAGTTTCCGTTTAAAAAAAAAAAAAGTCAAATCTCACCAGCTGCTGGTATATCAGGTTTTCCAAGGGATTGTCTAAGATATAACACTGTCCTAACTTAAGAAGGAACAGGAGAAAGGAAAGGGAAAAATATGAACTCGGTCAACACTTCAGTACAAAGTTGGCACTTGCTCAAAGATGTAGTGTGGTGGGCAACAGACACAGAAAATTCTCTTAAGAAAATAACTGTGTATTTTGTGATGGGTGTCAATGAAGTTAAAAACAGGCTCTTTTTCCCTCTTCCCCCCCATGCACAGACTTCCATCTTAAGTAACGAGATGGAGAGGTGGGGAGAAGTGAAGAGAAATTCATCTTTCTTTTTTTCTGTCAGGTGCATTAAAACAAAAACAAAAACAAAATGGGAAAGGAAAGAAAAAGTAAAAGAAAATAACCCAGAGCCCCCCCTCCAAAGAAAACCCAAACAAAACTTATTTCTTTTTAAAAATTGTAGCACAAAACAACGAAACACATTCACAAGCCACTTGTTGGCACTGTGTACCTGAGTGAGAATTTCTAGAACATTGTAGAACAAACAGCCATAAAGTTTATTTAAAAAAAAAAAAAGTTGACGGGTAAGACTTCAGTGCTTGGATGTAGCAGCTGAATTACTGGCATTATTTTACCCATAGCTTATTTCAATCTCTTGTTGTTGATATTGTTTGCTTGTTGCATTTTTTTTCCTTTCCAAGCCTTTTGAGGCTGAGGTCTATTAGTCAGCTGATGTCCCAACTATTTCAGACTAACAGTTAAAGTAACAGTCCGTGTATGGGAAAGTTAATGTGCTTGGCCACTGGTAAGGATGAACCAGCTAGGGCTTCTTTAAGTCCTAAGGTCACGCCAATCTTTGACCCTCCTCAGTCGGCTTGTCCTGCGATATGGTTTTCACTGTCACTCCCATAATCTGCGTCGGGATCCTCGTCCTCCTCGTCGTACTCGTCGTAGATTTCCCCGTTGATGTCCTCAGCCTGCATCTCTTCCTTGATGTGCGGCTCCTCCCCTCCTTTCACGCCGTAAGAGCCCTGCGTGACGGGCATCCCGGGCTCCGGGCTGCTGGACACACTCGAGTGTTCGGAAGGCAGGTGCGGCGAGGCCATCCCAGCCACGGCGATGGCTCCGGGGTACACGACGCCAGCAGCGGCGATGGGGATCTGTGCTTGCTGCCTGTCACGGAGGAATCCCCAGAGAGAGGTCATGGGTCTGTGTAAGCGGGACACCGGCCTTGCTAAGTAACTAATGCGCTCGGTGGTATCCGATCCTACGGGGCTGAGTTGCACCCGCACTGAACCCTACCTTCCGGTCTAATCCCTTGTTTCTGTTATAGCACTTTCTAGAGAACGAGGCATTTACTTGAATTGCCCATTGGGCTCTTAAAATAACCTGTTCCAGGGGACAGGGATTTAGCTCAGAGGTTCCGCTGCCTGCCTTGCAAACTCAAGGTCCCAAGTTCAATCCATGGCACCTAAAGAAACAGTGCTGGAAAATAACCTGTTCGGGCACCCCTCTGTGAAAGAAACTGAGGCAAAGACTAAGAAACCCAAGTCCTTAACTCCGTGTTCGCTTCGCCTTCGCGATAACATGGGAAAAGAGTTATTTTTTCTATAAATTTGCCTAAATTTAACTCAATTGTAATGGAAAACGCCTCCAGTATTGGAGCTATCGCAATAGCTTTACTGTTCAGAACGTACCAGAACTAAACAGTACCACTCTGTCCATCTGGTCCTTCACACAGTTTCGGCACCCCCTGGGGGTAGGAGGCAGGGCCGGCTCCCGAGTGCACAACCTGCGCAACTGTACTCTGGCCCCATACTTAGTCCTGCTGTCCCAATTTGGAAATTATTAATAGCTTTTTAAAAAGGCACCCTGTCTTCTCACTTTTGAACTGGGCCCTGTAGAATGAATAGCAGGTCCTGGCAGGAGAGGATTACAAGATGATGATCCTTCACGCTTTCTTTTAGTAAGCCTCAAGTTTGCCATTTACTTGGGCTCTGGGAATGGCTGCCTGAAAAGCCCTGACCTCGGACGGGAATCACAGCCCCTTGGAGAGAGAGAGCACAGAGATCCTTCAAAGGAAATGGAGGTACAGGGCAAAACTGCGAGGTGTTCTCCCGAGTTAGCCCCTGGCCGTATTCAGGACATAGTCATTATTCTAAGCTCCTAGGAAGGTTCTGATTCAAACACAGCAGCGGCACGTCTGTGTGTCTGGGGAGAGCTGTGCAGGAGAGCGGTCGCGGGCAGCCTATCACAGCCCTGCCAACAGCCTGCTGCAGCCAGCCCGGGACGACATCCTGCAAGCCGCAGCCTTGCTCCGTCCTAACTCTGAGCCCTACTCTGTGTAACCCACACAGGGAGTCACGCAAGGCCACCCGTGTGCCATGATCTCTCAGCGGCCCTCGGTATGCAGCAGCCAGCGTCTCTCTCTCTCTCTCTGTCGCAATCACTTTTACGGTGTTTTGTCTCAACTAAGTTGTACATCCTAACATTTATCATGGTGAAACCTTGGAAGTAATGAAACCTGCGAGGAGGAGAACCAGGGGGTACTTCTGAGCTTCTCACAGCAGCCTTCAAACTTATTTACATGAAGACATTTTATTTGCAAGCCAGTTGTTAACAAAGCTCAGAGTAGAGGTAGCAAGTCGCAGCGGACTCGTACGGGCTTATTCTTTAGGACGATGTGGGAGACGGGTTAGTCTCTGAAAACACACCGGTTTTAGGTTCTTTTTCAAAATGCTGCTCTGCCTCTAGACAGATACAGGGTGTTTCACATCCCATTGTGTACACCGGGAAGTTCTCCCCATGGAATAAACGGCGGACGGCTCATACCCCACGTTGAAGTACTGCCGCATTTCCTGCCGCCGGTTCCGCATGATCGCCTTGTACTCCCCGATGCGCAGCTTTTTACCGTCCACCAGGCAGGTGCGCTTCGGCCTGGGCTTGTACTTGTAGTCGGGGTATTTTTCCAGGTGCTGCTTGCTGAGGCGGGCTTGCTCCTCGTAATATGGCTGTTTCTCGAGGTTTGTCATGGCTTTCCAGCGAGACCCTGGGGAGAAAACAAGGTTAGGGTTCCAACTTAAACCACGGCTGAGCGTCCTAAAAGGAGATGTGATAGAAAACCAGACCGTCTCAGAAGATGGTCAGCACCCAGCAATACGGAAAACGTGTTTTGGACTAGTGAGCTTCGACTCAGAGGGCAAACGTCTCACAGTAACAGGCGCTGGTGGCACTGCGTACCCAAAAGTAGGAGCACTGGACAATGTATGATTTGTCTGGCTTGAGTGAACTATTTAACCAGAATCGTGCATTATGAGCTTAAACATTCATGGATACACAGTTTTTTTTAATTTTTACATTAGATCATCCTATAATTCAGCTATGAACTGAACATTATATATAATAATTCAATCTCTTTTGAATCAGAGACAATCTAGTTATTGAGTTTTTAATGCGGGGCACTCTACTACAAAAGTCCCTATCCTATATCAAATATACCAAATAGCATCACTCCACCCAAACTGTTTAAGTGCAATTACAGTTAAGGATGCATTTCATTAAAAACTTAATTCGAATTATATTATTACCAAGTACGGACTGGGTAACTCCTATGTGTGAGCTCATTTCTACTTTTCATCACAGCCCCGCATGACAGATAGCAGTCTATCTGTTTTCATAGATGAGAAAACTGAGGTGCAAATACAGGAAACAACTTACCCAACAGCACATGATGGTTAAACTGCAGACGCAGCACTGAGACCAAGCCTGATAGAATTTAAAGTACTCTACAATGTATGCTGTTCTACACATGTCCACCTACTACATCTGATCCAGCAGAAGTCAGAAATACAACAGTACGGAGTAACATTTAGCTCTTTACCATTTTCAATAAAAGTCACTTCTCATGATAGAGTAGGTTACAGGAATGATGAACTAAGTTGTTTCTCCATCTTTTCACTAACAGTTGTGGTATAGATTCATCTAGGATTGAGAAAAGTAAGCTTTAAACTAAACTAAAAGTAATGTATGCTCTCAGTGAAGATGTGACTGAAATATTTGATTCTGTAAGTGTGGCTCTGTATAGAAGTAGCAGAAGTAGTGCTAACAATATTCACTTATTAAAGACAGGTTTAAAACTCTTTATTGCAGATGAGACATTTATATGCACATAATCAACTCAATCTGACCCATTTGTATGGTGACGGAAAAACTGGAAGTAGGAGGTCCTTGCAGCTATGGTTTGATGGGATTTGTCTCCTCCAAAACTCAGGTCGGTGTATCCTCACTGTGAGGTATGAATGGGGTGGAGCCCCCCCCCCCACCATGGTGCTTAGAAGTGGGGCCTGTGAGAAGTGCTTAGGGTGAAATCGCCAATGGGGCCCCCTGGTCGCATACTGGTAGCTTTACAAGAGAAAGACAATAAGGAAGATAAACACAGAGGACCTCCCTGTCTCTGGCCTGTGATGGCCAGAGTGCCTTCGACTCTGCCAGCAAGACCACCACCACCACCAGATGTAGCTCCTTGACGTAAGAGTGAGATTATGAGCACAAGTTAGCCTTTTCCATACAGATTTTTGTAGCCTCACGTATGTTCATTATAGTAACAAAAAATGTACCGATTCTGCTTTCTTCGCCTGCCTTCCAAAGTCATCTAAGATCTCAGAAGCTTCAGAAGTGGTTTACTAGTCAGCTACAACTCCATACTGCAAATGCAAGTAGCTCATATTTGGGACAGTTCTTCCCTACAAATGTAGAGAATGCTTTGATGTGAACTATTTTATTTATCAAAGCATGCAGCGAAAGGGGCATTATTTCTTTGCCTAGAATTGTTTTCTATTGGAACAGATGTTGTGTAGGTGAGAATGTCCACGTACGAGTTACAGAGATTTACACACATAGATTTTCCCCCGATCTACTCAACATAATTTTATTCCTTTTATAACAGCAGCTCAGGTTATAGTTCAAATAAAATAGTTTTTCTATTCCTCTCTCAAATTTTTATAAGCAGTGTCCAAAATTAAGTCAACTGGTCAGGCCCTATCATTTTTAAGTACAATCTCAAAGTCCTCATTTTCCCCACAGTCCTTCTGTAGAGGCACTTCATAAGATTATGTTGGTCTCGGGTATGGTATCATACTATTGAACAAGATAAATTCTTTTCATGGAGCTTCTCTTCAGTACGTAGAGGTGTATTAGCTTTGTGAACCTCAAATCAGGGAGTGAAAAACTGAGCTGATCAGAAGTAACTTACTGGCAACAGGAATACATTGAGATAAAGATCGTGGAAAGTTGACTTAAAACAGTGTCACTAACTATTCTTATCCCCAAATTGAACAAAGAAATCAGTATGCCCAATTAGAAAAGGAATTGCAAAAGATTCATCCCTAAGTGTACCTGTTCTGCAAGCTCTAAATGATTACGTTTCTCTAGGGAAAGGAAATGGTTATGCTTTGGAATGACCTAAGACTCTTAGGATATGAGAATTGTTTTCATATTTCCTATTATGTGCACACTACTGTATCAGTTGCTGAATATGCAGTGATGAACAAGAGACTTATATTTCCTGTCTGTCTGGACTTTATATTCAATGAGGAAAAATGTTATGCATCTTGACACAAATTTTATTATCATCATCATTGTTGTTGTTGTTATTGTTATTGTTGTATGTGCAGTCCTGGGGGTTGAGCACAGGGTTTATACAATGAGCTGCATTCCCAGCCCTTTTTTGAGAAAAAGTCTTGCTAAGTCACTAAGTTCCCTAGGCTGAATCTAAACTCGTAACCCTTCTGCCTCAGTCTCTGAGTTCTGGGATTATAGGCATGTGCTGCCATGCCTGGCACAAATTATATTAATCATCAATGTGTAAAGTACAGGAAAGTGAGAGAACATACGATGAAATGACATCTATAAAGACCAGAAAGACAAGAGCATCATATGGAGAAGGAACACAACGGTCAAAGCCTGTTGGTGGGACTTTGAACTTAAAGCAGCCTGACAAAAATGCAGCATAAAAGGGAAGAATACATAAAGAAATGTCACAATAGACAAGATCTAAATTCTCAGGTAAGTGAGCTTCGAAATCTGGCATGAACTGAGGTTACAAAATATTTAAACTATTGGTCTACAGTCTCAGGAGTATCACTAAATCCTAGACTATATCACTAAATCCTAGAATATATTTAAAAGAAAGGCTATATATTAATTACAATCTTTTTTAAAATTGAGAATTAAGATAGCCTAAGAACTCACCGGGGCAAAATGTCCGATATACCATTTTATGACCAGGTAGAACAGTGTTTCATTTTGATGGCAAATCCCATTTTCCTGTTTTAATAATTACTCTGAGTTGGTTAGATTTTAATGGCTTTGGAGCTAAAATAGCTATTGAAAACAGCTTTGATGTTAATCCCTGAAACACACAGATGAGAATGTTGGGGACACATTTTAGGTATCACAAAAAAAATTGTCCATTTGATTGGGATGTGGCTGGCTGCTTAACCTGGACTCACACAAGAAGTACGTGCCCCACTGTTCTCCAAAGGCCAGCCTTTCATGCTTTCATGATGAAAAGCAGAGAAAACAACTGGGTATTCTTCCTGATGACAAAACAGTAAATTTCAATTAAAAATATTTGATGCTCAAAGTAAGGGGAGAAAAGGGCCCTGAAATTGTTCCTTTCCTCTCTGAATGTGGCAGTACACTCAAAGTGGAGAGTCTGAGCCCCGCGACACTGTCATCTCCGTGGGGTATGTAATGAATGTGCACATTTTACTCCAACTACTGTACATCTAATCAGAAAAAGATGTCTCCCATTCCCTGATCCAGCGCCAAATAGTAAAAGGTGATTCCTTATGTTAACAATTTCAGCAGAATGGCTTATTAAAACCAGATTTTAGGGTATTATAAAATGCTTAGAAGCCCTTTAAAATGTCAACTAGGATCCCCAGAGACTACGTAAAATGTCAACCCCAGCTCAAGCGCCTGTTTTAAGCAGAATGAATTAGCAGCATGCTGTCGGAGGCTGTTATCCAAAACAATCAGTAAAGAGGAAAACATCAAGCTTTCTTTGTACTTTTATATGAAATAGGCCATTCAGAATGATCTTGTGGATATTTGAAAATCACTTATTTATTTAAAGCTACAACTAACTATTGAGGTCCAAAATACTCCAGAGTTTAATTTTTGACCAAATGTAAACGCTCTACCTTTAATTAATACAATTTTATCTGGAAGACTGAAATCAGGCAGCCCTCTCATGTACACTGTGATGATATAATCATATAGCCATGCTCTTCTCTCCCTTAGATAGAAAGGAATTGTCTTAGTCATCTTTTTTCCACAATTTTGGTACATTTTAAAGTATAATTTCACATCATCAAAACCGGTATCTCTCTCAGGACAAAGTTCTCACCCATGATCACTGCTTTTTTAGTGTATGAACGCATGAAGAGAGTGATATAAAGACAGTTTTAAAATGTTAGCATTTAGCTTGTTTTGACGTTTTTAGATTTCTAATTTCAGAGTAACTGATAAGACATGAAATAGGGTTACACAAAATATTTCACACTTTTCTAGAGTTTTTCCAAAAGGTGAGCTGTATTACAGAAAAGGTTTCATGTAGAACAAAGACTATACATCATAATAAGGAAAAAATGGATCAGAGATTGGTGGGTGTGCCAAAAATATGCATTTCTTAGTCCCAGTTTTTGGTTTCCTATTTTTTAAAATTAATTTTATTGGTACATTTAAGGTATGCAGCGTAGTGACACTCATCAGTGGGAGTTTGCACTTTCGCATAATCCATCTTGGTTCTTATTTTTCCCCACTCCCCTGCCCTCCCTTCAACCCCTCCACCCTTCCCTATCTACAAAGACTTTGTTTCTTTTTTTTGTTATTCTCATTTTAATTCCATTCCCATCTTTCTTTCCCCCTCTCACTTCCCCTTTGCATCTTTTCTTCCTATTCCAAGGGTAAATAAGGACTAAACGGCACTATGGATATATATATTTTAAAATGTAGATGTTCACATTTTCTGTGCATGGCTTTTGACATAATGTTCATCTACCAATCTCAAAATTATGTGAGATAAAAATAGTGAGACAGCTAATGGCTCTGATCACACACATTACAAATGGATTGGGTGGAGTCATTTATCTCTGTTCATAGAACATGACCACGAAAACACAGGAATGTGTTCAGTAACTACTTTTCCATGAGCAGTTTCTTAAAGCAAAGGATCAAAAGGGATGCTAGCTTCATAAACTACATGTAATTCCAAGTATGTTATGGATTTTAATATAACCTTAATAATGTAGACACATTTTATTTCATAGAGCCAAAATCAGCTGATAAGAAAGAGATTTTTAAGTTCTTTTTCCTTGGGCTTAAATTGGTCTATAATGGTTTGCTTTATAATATGAACCCTTTCTTCCCACCCATCCTTTCTGTGTGCTTTGTTTTTTGTTAAGCCAAAAGCTGCAATGACAGGAAAAGCCTCCCTTTAATAATATCGAGAGTAAAAGTTACAAAGTATGACTAAAAGTACCTTTCCTAACTATCGGTACTAAAAATATAAGTTTCAAAATTAACACGAGTTCTGACTATGCTCTGAGACTCTAAACCGACTTTCAATTAGAGCACTGAAATACCATGTCCACCTCAGAGCCCCACAGCGCAATGAACAGTAAATGATACTCAAAGGCAAATGTCTTCTCCCTGGGCTCTAAAGGGTGATGAAAACGGAAGGAACCTTAAGATGAGCAATATTGGTCCACAGTTCACAAAGGAAAAGGAAGAAAATGACCAATAGCAGTCTGTAGCTGCTCAGGTGAAAGTATCATTTTATACTGCTACAGTTAAAATATGTCTAGATTTTCAACGAAGAGAAATTATGAAAATAACTATCATGGAAACAGAGTTAAGTTAGCTACAAAAATTGGGCATGGCCAGGTATGTAGCTCAGTGGCACCACTCCTGCCTCGCAAGCGCAAGGTCCTGGGTACCAGAAAAAAAAAATGGGCACATTTCTTGATGAACACAGACTATTTCATCATCATCAGAAGCCTCAAGGATGGTGCTCATTTTGTACAGAAGATGATGTAAGCTGCCTGGTTTCCAAATCCAGTATTTTTCCACAACTGCAAAAAAAAAAAAAAAAAAAAAAAAACCCGAAACTAATATTTTTTATATAATATTTAT